GTGTTACTACGTCGTGATGGTTCTCGCACTGTATGTCTCTTAATCCCGGTCGTCTCACCTCTTAAAAGCTAACCAGTTCAAAGAATCGACGTGGCAACAGTAACATGGGGTCCCGTCAATCTAGAACTCGGCTTCAGCTACGCCATATTAAACGACAGCTATGCAGCAGGCTGTGGCGCTCTCTGCGTTGGAGGTCTCTTCCTCGTACCCTTCGCCCTGAAATACGGACGTCGACCGATCTATATATTCAGCACTGCCATCCAATGCGGAATCAGCATTTGGTCTGCAAAGATGCAAAACTTCGCCGATCTGATGCTGGTCAATATCCTCAGCTGCATTGTTGGAGCACTCGCTGAAGTTCTGGTTCAAATGACCGTTGCTGATGTCTACTATGTTCACCAGCGAGGTCTGACCAACACTATCTACTTCTGGTTCATGACTGTTGGAACAACGCTGGCCCCTCTAGCTGGTGGCTTTATCACCCAGTCTCAGGGATGGCGCTGGGTTTGGTGGTGGATGGCTATTCTCTTTGGAGTGGGGCTTGGTGCATTTATTTTTCTGTACGAGGAGACTATGTTTGATGCATCGCGTATTGAGGGTGTACCTGTTCCTGAGAGGAATGACCCTAAGCCTACACCTATCAAAGAGGATATCGAGCCATCGGCACTGGAGAAGTCCATGTCAACACAGGAAGCTCACTCATATCAGGCTGTTGAGATCGACTACTCAATCCCAGTGAAAAGCTACCGGAAGAAACTCGCATTATGGGCTAACTCCCCAGTGCCCTTCTCAGAGGTAGCAAAACACTGCTACCAGCCATTCCTCATTCTCTTCAGCTTTCCAGGCGTCTTTTTCATGGCCCTCGTCTATGGACTGATGACCGCCTGCACGACAGTCCCAGTGACAACGCTTTCATCAGTGATGACACTGCCGCCGTACAATTTCGGCGCATCTCAGATTGGCCTTATGGGACTGCCGCCATTCATTGGGACCACCTTAGGAGCTCTAATTTGTGGGCCTCTAAGTGACTCGATTGCTCTCTTCCTTGCGAAGAGAAATGGCGGTATCTTCGAACCGGAGATGCGACTTTGGTTGGCTCTTGCCTTTACCCCATTGATTCCAGCAGGTCTGTTCATGTTTGGTATTGGACTGAATAACGGCTCTCACTGGCTTTTGCCGGCGTTTGGCTTGGGTGTCTGCTCTGTGGGTGTTGTACCGGCGAGCAGTGCAGCATTGACTTATCTTACTGATTCATACACTGAGGTGAGACACGCTTGATTGGATATATGGTATACCTGCTAATGTTCCGTTTCGTTATTAGATTATCGCGGACTCAATCGTTGGTGTCACTTTCATTCGAAATCTCATCTCCACCATTTTTGTCTTCGCCCTTCAACCCTGGTGCAATAGAGTGGGACTGACATGGTTCTATGTGACATTTGGCTTGATAGTCACTGTTGCCCTCTCCGGTAATTTGCTATTTATCTACTACGGAAAGATGTTCCGGGCCAGGCTTGCAGGTGCATATAACCATTACAGTCAGAAGCAACTGGGCTCGAGGCCAGCTTAGTTGAGATTCTCTATCCAGGTACCGTTTATTCAATGAATTTATCCTATGTTTATTACAATTACCAAATTTGAGCTGAAGTTGCTGTAAGTTACTAAAGTAGTGATACTAGTGCATTGATATAATTAAATGTATTGTTTCGGTCTGGACCGCCTTTGCTTAAGTGGCCTTCTTTCCGGTGGTATAACTCAGGCTCACACTACATTAGAGGAAAGCTTGGGAGCACTCTTTGAAGCAGTTTTATTGAAATGAAGACATGATGAGAGTATGAAGGTCGTTAACGTTGATATGTATGGTTGTTCCAGGTCAGGCGGGGAAGGATCTTGCCACGCTTATTCGACACTACGAATACGGCCGCCGATCCTATGGCTGGGTTTTTGATCTTCGTAAATTCAGGAACTGCATGATTTATCTGCCTTCAGAAGGTTTGTTCGACTCACTATTTTGGGGTCTTGCAGGAACTCAAAGTATGAACTAGAGACGCGGGAATCTATGAGCTACGCGTAAGTGCTCGCAGATCGGCGCATATCAGCAGATGAAATCTCACATATCTTGCACTCTTTCAAGAGGGTCTTGCTATTGACCTAGCACATTAGAAAACCTGGCTGTACGTCGTGGCTCATGGTTCGAGAAAATAACGAAATCCAAACGGCGGTATATAACTTGGCGATATGATGTCATATGCCGAGCTCGGCCTTTGTCAACAAAAGTCGGAAATCTGGAACATTTGATTACGGATGCCGAGAATCAAAGCACGTCCATACGATGACATGAGACCCTTTGAAACTTGATTTCAGGGCGGTATTGCGCGTTGATTCACTGCCCGAACTTCACTGCAGGGTTCGACGATCATCTGCTCAACAGAAAAATGGAATCGTGGACGCCTCGAGTGTACATGTAACCCCAGAGTTTTGATCGACGGACTGCTGTCGTAGACAATGCAGAAATTCCTAGGGGGTGTGCGTAATGCGTTGGTTCAAAGGTTACTCTTCGGATCGACCCGACAGATCCATCTCAAAGGCCGGGGCAGGGAAGAGGCAAAGCCAAGCGTCTAGGAAGCACAAAGGCAGCAATATTTGGGGGCCTGTTGGTTGGTTTGTGATCGCCTTCTCCAAGATCTGATGTCATCAAACCTCTCTGTGATCTATGAAGGCCAATGAAGTAGTTGGGAGGGCGTGCGTAATGATGTTCTTGGAGCATCCCGACCTCAGCGTCAACAGATGAAGGCCGAACCTTGGACCAGCTTGAAAACATCAATATACAATTCTAGCTGTGAAACAATGTCGGGATTTCCAGGGAGGGAGGTTGGAGACCGATGGACTAGCCTCTTACAGCCTTCAAAGGTACACGGGTTGTTTTAGTGTCTCTCGTAATTTTCTCGAATCCTGACAACAAAGTTGACCTATGATCAAGCCAAGAAAATGGGGCACAGGATCAGGACACAAACATTCGGACTTCCTGCGATCGGCAAGTTTGGGGGCGGCGAAAAGACAATTGGATGTGAAGTGTGTAGTGGAGAAACAGATGCGGTGGGCTGAGCAACCAACGACGTAACAAGAGCCTCAGCCTTGCGATAATTTTAGTTGGCCTTGCTATTTAACGCATCAAGGCCCCCAGCCTTGAAACAAAACATCTTACTGTCCAAAAATTCCCAACTCATCGGAATTCTTCTTCCCACAACCTATCCCACTTATACTTCAATACTTCCAAACATCAAAATGCAGTACAAGTCGCTCGCCTTCCTCCTCTTCTCGGCCACAGCCCTGGCCTCCCCAGCTCCCCAAGCTTCAGTGACCGAGGATCTGAATGACATTCCCAACTCCGTCATCGTAGCCCTCCAAACGGCCATCCCAAGCTCAGTCTGGGCCGAGGTCATGTCGGACCCTTCATACGTCAACTCCGCCATCTCCAACGCTATCATCTCTAGCGTCTACCCCGACTGGTACTCCAACGTCCCCGAGAGCGTGAAGCCATATATCACAGCTGCTCTCATCTCCGAGTCACCTACAGCTTACTCCTCCGCCGTCGCCGCCGCTACCTCCAGCATTAGCGGCTCCGCTTCTGGCTCCAGCTCTGGCTCCAGCAGCCCGTCGGTGACCTCTAGCGGTGCTTCTAGCACTGGATCCACCACTGGCTCTAGCTCTGGTGCCTCGTCTTCTGGTGTCACCACCTCCACCGCCACTACTACCGATTCCTCTTCTACTGCCGGCAGCTCGGACTCAGCTTCGTCTTCTGCCTCTGGCTCTCCTTCTCCTTCTACTTCTGCTGGTGGTGCTGCTCCTACCGGTGTTGCTATGGGCCTTGCTGGCGCCGCTGGTGTCCTCGGACTTGCCCTCGCCCTCTAAGAGTGTTACGTTAGATACCTTTTGATTCTAGTTCATGTTGTCTGTTTTGCATATCTATAAATGACTCGCTGGCTCTCATGATGTAATGATTCATTGAGTCTGATGGATAGCTGATGTTTACTACTTAATACGTGTCAATACAGCTGCGGTTGGATATACCGCAAATATCACTGATCTCTGAGTTTCTGGTAATCACAATGTAAGTTACATTTCGAATCGAAGGCCTTCGTTCACGAATGATCTGAAATGCATTAAGCGTTTCCGCTAGACTCTGGTGGGCCTTTGTACAGTCCCTACATAAGAATTTCTTGATCTCAGAGACATGCCTATGCATTCAGTTCACCGGGACAAGCTAATCAACTAAACAAATCATTTCCTCGAGTCTCTGTTTCGTTCGTTTCCCAACATATTTTCAACTGTCCGTTTTTAACTTGATTAACATAGCCGGTACAATATCCTCTTTTTGCCACTAGAAATCCGAATCATCGTAGTCGGGCTGTGGCATGCTGTCCTATGAATAATGTTAGTCAACAATGTCATCAGGAGGATTTGTCAGTTAGAAATCTCCGTACCTCCTGATTCTCCCTCTGGACACTGTGCAATGAGTATGGTAGGCCAAATTTGCACCGAATTGCGAGGTATATATGATTAACTACAGAGCCAGGTCAGTAGAAGAGAGTGCCATGAGTATACACATTGGTACACGTGACTCGATTTACTTCTATTTGCTACACGGGTTGCATTTACTAGATGGAGTGTAACGTATAACTTGCTTCAGAGGAGTTCGATTATTATTTGCCTATGTAAACGCAAAGCTCCGCTTGATAATATGATATGGTTGAATAAAAGAAAAGACGTGAATAGTCCCTGGGTATGAGCTGGGTATGGGGCATAATAGAAACAGGCAAAGGGGGCTCAGTAAATATGAGAGTATGATACAGTAAGGCTTCTGACAAAGTGGAGCCCAGTGTATTGCTATGGGATGAATTAATCAAATGGCTGTGTTGAAACCGCGCAAAGCCTGGTCCATACCGAAAACCTGAGGGTACTTTTCTGTTGTCAAAGGTAAACTGGGGGCCTCGACGGCTTTATTCCGGGTTTGGCAGACCATTCGGCATCGGGGTTGGCCGTTGAAAAGTTGAGGGCCTTTTTTCCGCGAGTGACGAGCTCTGGGTTGGCATGGAGGTCGATCGTTCAGCATATGAAGGCATGTTTCCCGTCAGCAAGGAGCTCTGAGCTGGTGTCGGGGTAGAATGTGCAACGGATGAGGGCATTATTTTAGTCAGCGAAGAGCTCTGGGCTGACTTGGGGGTTGGTAGTTCAGCAGATGGGGGCATAGCAGATGGGGGTATATGTTCTTTCCGCGAGGAGCTCTGGGTCGGTATCGGGGTTGACAATTGAGCAGAGGGGGGCATATTTTCCATCAGGGAGGCCTGGTTAGGCTCCGAGGACAAGGGGCGGGGATACGGGGACACGTAGGGCGAAGGATTGATAGGGCGAAAACTAGAGACGGCAGGTGAGGGCATCGCGCGGTCGTACTCCGGCGTTGGCTATGAAGGATTGTCACTCGAAAGATTCCCTCAATTGCAATGGGATTGGAATTTTTAATACCACAATCTTGGTGAGCGTGCTTGCCAGGCGGGTGTTGGGTGCCTTGATGGGAGAGGCTTTTGCTTCCTGTCGGTCCAACCAAAGTTTCAAGGTATTGTAGCGGTGCAGAACCCCAAACTTTGCCTCATACTCTTGCTCGAGTTTTGCTGGGGACATGCCGGCGTCCAATCGGGGTTTCAGCCAGGCTGGCGCGTGGTCAAACTCTTCCTGAGTAAAGTTGTTTCGGACTCGGACGCCTTTCTTATGGCTCTTGGCTTTTTTCGGCTTGATCTTCATAGATACTGTCCCTGTGCGCGGGGGAACTGGCGTGATGCCCCCCTGCCGTTCAGCTATGCCTGAGCCGAATTGTGTGGCTTCAAAGCTTGGGGCTGGACTTGAGGTGAGGTCGATTGGCTGGCCTGCGTTCTCATATTCTTGGCGTAAAGAGCTTGCGGCCCAGTTCAGGGTTCGCTTGCTCTTGCGGGGTGTTTCAGGTTTAGGCATGGGCTGCTTGACGGGTGGGATTGGTGCCACTGGCTTTGGGACCTCGCTGGGTCCGTCAGCCTCCATTGCATCACTGTCTGCAACCACTGCATCGCTGTCTCCGACCGTTGTATCGCGACCTTCAGCCGTTGTACCGCGACTCTCAGCCACTGCATAGCTGTCATCAACCATTGTATTGCGCTCCTCGGGAGCCAGCGGTTCCTTCCCCTTGGAAGCAGAGACCAACGGGGTAGATGCATTGCATGGCGCTGGCGTCTGGTGCTGTGTATCCCAGTCCACGTCAACAGTCTCCTCATAGTCCGAACTCATGTTTTTCCTCTTTAAGCTATTGTGATCTCGAGAAAAAGGTATATCCTCCCCAGTCGACACATCCGATGAGGATGGGGATGCGCTCCGTTCCTGTGTCTCCTGAGACCCGATCGAGGTGGCCGGCTTCGTGAGGCCTACTGATGGCTCAGCTGAGATAGAGACACGAGATCCGGGCTGGGAATCACTGGCAGCGTGAGAAAGGACTGGTAGTCTCAGACCTGATTCGGTCGGGCTAGGGTAGTTGCTTCGAAGGCTTTGAGGAGTGCCTGATCTTTTGATAGATGCTGGGGCTTGATCGCCTCGCAGCCTGTGGCGACGCTTCTTCAGTGATTGCTGCAGTCGCTTGAGTCGCTCAACATCTGCTTTCATTAGTATGTCATGCCATTTCGGGGGTCATGGGTGTAGGGAAATACAAACATTTAATCTGAATGTGAAGTTCATTCAGCACGTCTGCTTCGATCGACAGATTGACTTCCGACTCCTTCTCCACGTCCGCAGCGCTAACATAGGGGTCCGAGTTTGGTGGGAGGAAGCACCGATTGACTAGAATAGTCTTGTGCATTGTCTCATCAATCTTAACTAGTCGTCCCTGCATTCGGCACTGGTAGAAGCCATCGTCTCTCTTCTCGAACTTGCCGTGTCGGAAGATGTTGACCCAGCTGAGCGATACATCGCTTTGACTGTCGGATCCTTGGGGCTCGTCCACGAGCGGAGGACGAATACCCAGGAGCGTTCTCAAATTTGACTCCAGGTCATAGCTCTGAAGGCGCTCATCGGAGAAATACTGAGTAAATGTTTCATCCTTGTCGAGCACGTCTTGATAAGCCTGTATCAAGGCAGGGCCTTCGCGCTTGAGCGATTCGAATCGCGGCAGCTGGAAGCGGACGCCCTCACGATAGACACCCCACTTGATGGAGCTACCAGGGCCAATCTCCATTTTGGAGGGTTTGGACTGCATAAGGTAGGTCAGTTAAGCTCATGGACTCGGCTAAGTTGCCTCACATGTAGGGTCCGTAGAGGTGCTGTGTAAGTCGGTATGTGGGTCGGGGAGTCGACGAGCGTAGAATTCTCAGGCAGAATCCCGAGTCAGGAACCCGAGTTAAGGAAGTGGCAAGTCTGTCTCCCAATCGCCAGCATCACTCTCTGCCCCGGGAGAGACGTAAAATGTACGTAAGCGCAATTTTCTTTTCTCAATAGTTTTAGGTCTTAGGGGGTCTTATAAATACACTCCCGAGGTAGAGACTAACTTATGGCATTTTTACTAACAAGCGAGGCCCACACAGTGCTGATTGGAAGACCAGGGTACATAGGCGCCGAATATCAAACTTTGTCACAATACTGTATTGGCTATTATCTCGACTTTTCTTTCACCGCAACTCGACTTTTAACGTTCTTTGTCCAATCTTGACTGCGCCACCATATCAACCGCATGAACTCGCCCGTGTTATAAAGAAACTCGCCCCAAACCGAGACTTTGTATGGGCCACACGCTATTAAGTAAAAACGCACGTTTTGTATACAGTTTCATATTTTGCATGTGCCACCCGGTATTAAGCGAATACCGTACCATGCACATTCAAAGAGAATTTCATATTTTGTATATGCCACCCGCTATTAACTGACGACCATGAGCTTCATGCGTGGATTACGCTATAATATTACTAGTCAAGTCCTATCCATTCACATTTTGTATAGGCCACCCGCTATTAAGTGAAGACACGCCCATTCGTAGACAATTTCACATTTTGTATGTGCCACGCACTATTAAGTGAAGACTATACACTTTCGTATAAGATTTCGCATTTTTCATCGTGCGTTAAAATGATATGCTTTTACTAAAATGACATCCCACCCCTGTTCATAGCTAACATAGCTAACCCGGTTAGGAAAGACAGTAACTGTATTTTATTGAGCATTATAGTCACTACACAATCAATTGAGTGAGCCTGAGACCGGCCGTAGGCGGGGTCCCTTCCAATCCGCAGCCCAGTCAGACAATGTATTTTCCCCCCCGGGAAGGGACCGGTGCAATTCTGGAATGTATGTTGTAAATACGATTACCAGCAGGCTGCCGAATCCAAAATATAAGGCTGCCGAATAACACATCCCGCAGCAGTGGGGGGATGATTTTAACGGAACACTTTGTATATGTCACCCGCTATAAGTCAAGACTATTCACGTTATTCGTCGGCGATTCCCGTTCAAATAATCGAAACCATCCGGTTTGCTACGATCCACAATTGAGAAGTATCCATGAGACCTATCTAACGATTGTAGCGCCTGTTCTTTGATGTTTGTTTCCATCAAGACGCTATTCTTTTTATCCCTGTATCACTACCACGTTCCACAAAATAGGGGTCTATATTCGTACTTCTAAACCTATGGTTTTGCTTTTTCTCTCCTTTTTTCCCTTTCAATTTGGGCGGCGCTTATATTTCAAATTACGAGTTTGAGGAAGGCCCCCACAAGCCACATGGATAAATACAAGATCGCCTGATTTTTTCTCGACTGATCAGAAAACGGGCACAAACAAATCTCAAACCCCCCATAAACCCCAAGTTTTCCAGTCGGGTGATAGATAGCCACCAAGGCAACACTGACTTATAAGCATAAGAGTGGGGCAAACCCGATCCACGCACGTGATTGATAAAATCAACCCACGGAAAGCCTCACACTCTCACAACATTCCCCAAGCAGAAACAACAAAGAAAATACAAGATGTGGATCAATTGCGGGCGATTATCCGATTTCACACAGGCGCGCTATGTGATCCGCCTAACGACAGGCAAGAAACTAGTACTATTCCGCCTGCCAACTATCGACCCATCAAACCCGAAAGTCAACGAGACAAATGACGGCTGGTCCTATTATGCCATGGAAGCCGAGTGCCCGCACGCCGGTGGGCCCATGGCCGATTCCCAAGTCGACATTGAAGACTCGGCATATGTCGCGTCGTGCCCGTGGCATGCGTACGATTTCAACGTAGAAACTGGCGAATCGAGCGTCGGGATCAAGGCTTGCACCTTCCCGGTTGATGTGAGCGGCGAGTTTGTTGCGTTGGATTTCCCCGTTGAGGATGGTGCTAGTGTTGGTTTGGCTAAGGTTGAGCCGGTTAGTGAGAAGGTCAAGTTGAAGCATGCGCGGCCTTCGGATTCACCTGCTATTGCTTCTGCTGCTGCTGCTGCTACACCCAAAGACCCGGGTATGGCGAAATACCTCGACGACGATGCCACGCTGTGCGATTGGGCGGCGCATGTGCTTAATACCGCCAATCCCGAGCACAAGATCGAGCTGACGACGCACCTGTTCGCTATTTTCACTGCGAGAGAAGCCTCAGACGCGCCGATGCCGCTTGGCAGAGGAACAGTTCTCCCTCCAGATGAACCACCACGGGAGGACCTGCAGACCGTTAACCCGGGCGCGATGCCAAAGGCCGGAAGGGGTGGGACATTGAAGAGCCGCATTGCGATGCTGCACGCGCTAGCCAACATCGAACTCTGGGCGATCGACCTAGCGATCGACATCTGTATTCGATTTGCGACATTCCAAACAGAAGGCACATCACAAGAGCTGCCACGCACATTCTTCCACGACTGGTTGAAAGTCGCCAGCGATGAAGCGAAGCACTTTTCTCTCCTTCGCACTAGACTCGAAGAACTCGGATCCGGCTTTGGTTCGCTGCCTGTGCATCACAGTCTCTGGATCTCAGCGACGGAAACGGCGTACGATCTCCGTGCGAGAATCAGTATCATTGCTCTTGTCCACGAAGCTCGCGGTCTTGATGTCAATCCTATGACCATTGAGAAGTTCCGTAAAGCTGGTGATGCGGATAGTGTGCAGTCACTCGAGATCATTCATAATGACGAGATTACGCATGTTACAACCGGTCACCGGTGGTTGACGTGGATCTGTGCCCAAGAGGGAACGGACCCTGTTCAGGTGTTCCGATCGAATGTGCAGAAGCATTTCCGCGGGCCGATCCGTGGGCCGTTTAATGAGGAGGCTCGCCTGCAGGCTGGTATGGATAAGCGGTATTATGAGAATCCGCATATCGCCGGTGAGGTGATTGCGGCTTGAGTATCGGGCGCCAAAAAAAGAGGAAAAAAGGCTTTACGTTGAACACGATTTTACGCTGTGGCTGTGACTACTTGGCATTTTTGATATCCCCCCATGATGAACGAGCAAAAAGATGTACATAGAATCAAGGCATTTCTTTCAATTGCTGTAAATATTCAATTCATTAAACCTCCGAGAGGTCCGTAAAACTCCATAAAACTCCATTGAGTAGACATTATGCTTCTAGATGAGATCGTGAAGTGACGTGACGTGAAAAGACGGCTAAGAAAGGAGCTCAAAATCATGAAGCGACCGAAGAACTCCCCCTATTTCGTGTACTCAGCCTTCAACTGGACCTTGCTGCAGCTGGAGGGAATAGTAGCATCGTAGTACTTGTATAAGTAGAAGAGCTGAGGGGCATTGTGGAACCAGTCACAAACTGTCGGGCGTTAGTTTGACATGATCATCAAGTGGAGCGTGGAGCGTGGAGCCAAAACAAAAAAAACTTACCGAGCCAGCCACCAAAGCCCATATCCTCCGACCATTGGAAGAGACCATTCTGAATGGAGAACCCGTCGCTACCCGTACCAGCATTGATCTCAATAGGTTCCCAAGCTGTGCAAAAGTCAGTGATTCATTCGGGTGGCGTTGGTGGCAATGTTTGCAAGGGATGCGGATGCGGATACTCACAGGCATAGTTCGTGTCGCCGATGGCGGTCATTCCCCATGGGAACTCTGTCTTGTAGTCGAAGAAGACGTTTGTACCGTTTAGGTAGGCTGAGCTGGCTGTGCCTACGTCCTTGGTGAGGACTGCGTCGTTTAGGCCGGCGCCTGTGTGGTAGCCATAGACGTAGAGGTCGTTGTGTTCGGTGTTGGTGGCGCTGGTGGTCTTCAGGCGGAAGAGGTTGGGTGTCTGTCTCTTGGCCACTGGAGCGGCGAGGGCGGAGACCGCCAGCATGAGAAGAGGTGCGAGGAACTTCATTGCGTGAATGGTGATGGAGGGTAGATGGAGAAAGGTTGGAAAATTGGAGGTTGGAAAGTTGAAAGGTTGAAGTTTAAATGTGGTTGGGGAAAAATTGGTAGCTTAGAAAGTGAGAACCAACACGATCGACAGGAGGAACGGACTGAATTTATGCCAAAGCTCGGATTTCGATGATTTTCTAGTGCAGGCACAGTGGAGATGCAGCACACCACATGGATATTCGGTTTATTCTACAATTCCTTGCTGATTTCCCATCTTTGGGTGTTGGGCAACTGCTTCCGAGCTCCATTCTGTATAGTCTCACCCAGTGGGCGACTTACGGTGTGCTCAACCCAGGAAAACTGCTAGTCACTAAGACATCTCGCATGCTGATCACCCATGGCAATGATGTCGATGGGGCTGGGACTACATCAGTAGTGCGTGGAGGCCAATGCAAATCTTACTACATCAAGGCTTAGCGGCCCTGGGGTAGCGAACTAAAGGGTTGGCGATGGAGGGGGTGTGAGACATTTTCTGCGGGCTTCGGGTAGCTAGCTTGATCTTCAGTCTGTATTCTTTGATATTCGGAGGTTTCTTGATGTCAGGTGCAACCTCTTGAGAGGTCTTTTGAGACATTGCGCTTTGTTCAAAGACCAGTTACTGAAAACTGTTAGGGGTGGCTGCCGAAAGAGACATATTCCGGATCTCATGATATTCGACATAAGCACAGGGTCGCATCTACACAAAGACAATGTTTAGCATGAGACTGCGATGTTCTTCATTCCTTGGTTTTGAAGACATTCGCAAATTCTCGATTGGACCCATGGGTCCGCCTCCCTATTCTTACTACTGCTTACGGTGAGACTCGAGTCGATTGCCTACTGTGGATACGTTTAAAAACCTATATGTAGGGTCTATAAGAAATCCAAGACATCAATTGAAAGAAAATAGGCTATTTCCACCAGGCCGATGCTGTAAGACTCCGAAGTCATGACTTGTTAAGGCTGTTTGAGGCCTGAGGCAGACGTCATACTTGGATTTTACTTTCTTGCTTTATGACTCTGTCGATCCAACAATTCTCTCGAGGTTGTACTAAATTCATTATGCCATGTGCATCCTCGTTACTATATTATCTCTAGTGGTGAAAAGAGCCTTCTCGATACATATATAGTCGCACAGCTATATCTTCAAAACTTGGCTCTCAGTCTATAGGCAAGCATGATAAGACATTCTTCTCATCAAGCAGTGCTCAATCTTCGAAGACACCCTGACCAACTCTATCATCTCACGTTCATGGGGCTGGTCATCGCGGTCGGCGGTCTACCGTTGGAAGCCCTCGACAACATGCCACCCGTGCCAAGAGAAAGGAATAGTGGTCTGACTCGCTCTTGTAGATCCTCTGAATATGAATATCCGAGATTACTTTGAGGGCACATGCTATCCCTCATTCCCGGCCCGTCGAGGTATAAGCAAGATGTGGAGAGTGTCGCATCGAGTCTGTTCTCATGCTCCAACTCGAGGCAGCACATATTAAGATAATTAAATGGAGATGATCTTTCAATGGCTAATATCACTAACAACTCAATGATATGAAGTACTGAATGGGTGGAATTTTTGAATTATATTGTCAATTTGTTCATGACTACATTCAGTAATAGGATGACAATCACGATGAGATAATAGCAACACAGGTCATCTTAATGTACAGTTATCCGCGATAAAGACACAGGAGCTTGTGTTGATGTCTTCCCTTTCAATCCTCCCAATACTGAGCTGGATAGAAGTCTTGGCACGGTCACGCTGATAGGACTTAAAGGCCCGATCAGGGGCTTGCTACATGTACACACATATCCAGGCTTCCTTATTACATGTACTGTACTGCAATGTGTGTGGTGCATACCAGAAAAGGCTAGAACGAGTATTGGGTATTAATAGAACATGCATCTCTATGGCATGTTTAGGGGGTATTTCCCCCTAAGAGATTCTACCGCACCCCTTGGATACAGTGAAAAGCTGTGCATATATCATGCGATCAGAATTTAAATAAAAAGGATAGTCTACAGGAATAGGATGGTTAAAATGACCGTAATAGCTATCATCGAGTGTTTGGATTAACTTCATAACATAACAATCCTGGACCCACTTCAAAGCTCCCGAAATCTCTTCGCGCCCCTGACGCGTTGTCTTGACACTGGGGTTAGCACATTCTGATCCTTATAACCTTTCTGGTATTTCCGGAATCTGCCTAGGATATAGTAGACTTTCCTCGGGAGCTCTCTGGATCGGCACGCCTTACCCCCCCCCCCGCATTAGATCCCAACATCAGGCCAACAGCCACGCCTGAAATATGGATCCATCCACCTACACCGATCCCCAGCTCACCTTCCAGGATCGATTGGTGATCGATGCCATTGTCCAACCCAAGTCGGACTCAAAAAGTGAGCTCTCTGCAGTGTGGATCAAGTAGCACGCTAACAAACGTCCAGATCAGGAAACGGCAAAGCCGGACAAGCTGAGCAAGAAGGAAACTATTGAGAAGCTTCACAATCTAAATGATCCCTCTCATGCTGAGTTTGATCCAACTGTCTTCCAGCTCTGGGATCTCCCGCTGCTGACGGCCAAGCTGCCCGCGCCTATCCAGAAATATGTGCTGACGCCGTACATCAATTGGGCGAAAGGTGTCGTACGCTTTCAGACTGATGTGGTTATGGTAACACATCTCATTCTTTATTTCACCACCATCGTACCCAGTGCTATATTGCTATTCTACCGTTTTTCTTATTTACATGGCTTCGTGCATTGGTTCATGCAACTGTTCTACTGTGGCGCGTTCACTTTGATGAAACATCAACATATTCACATGAACGGTGTGTTGTCGCCGAAATACTACCTGCTCGACACCCTATTCCCCTACTTGCTTGACCCCATGCTCGGACATACATGGAACTCCTACTTCTACCACCACATCAAACACCACCATGTCGAGGGCAATGGTAGAGATGATCTGAGCACAACGATGTACTATGACCGCGACAGTGTCCCCGACTTCCTCTGCTATGTGGGTCGCTTTGTCTTCTTCATCTGGTTTGAGCTTCCGATGTACTTCTTCCGAAAGGGCCAGACGAAGTATGCTTTGAGATGTGCCTTCTGGGAGTTGAGCAACTATGTCGCTCTCTATACGCTCTACAACTATGTCAATGCCCGTGCGACATTGTTCGTGTTCCTCCTTCCTCTCACCGTCATGCGTCTGGGCTTGATGGTTGGCAACTGGGGCCAACATGCTTTCGTGGACCCGGCCGACCCTGACTCGGATTACCTGTCGAGTATCACATTGATTGATGTCCCGGTAAGTTGCTCATATCGAATATCATACTTGCATGGCACTGACAGATAACAGAGTAACCGATTCTCCTTCAACGATGGATACCACACTTCCCACCACCTGAACCCCCGCCGCCACTGGAGAGATCACCCCGTCGCCTTCCTGACGCAGAAGAGTCGCTATGCCGAAGAAGACGCTCTAGTGTTCCGGAACGTTGATTATATCTTCATCACCGTTAATCTATTAAGAAAGAACTACGTGCATCTCGCGAAATGTCTGATCCCCATTGGTGATCAAGTCGACATGACCCTTGACGAGCGAGTGGAGATGCTGCGCCGTCGGACACGGAAGTTCCCCAAGCCGTCATCAAAAAAGACCCAATAAGAACGAGGATTTGAAGGGTCGTACTTACTGCCCTGACAGGGCTCTGTCCCTGGTCCCTGTTTGATGTGTCTACAAATGTAACAACATAATTTTCAGTCAATACATTTTGCCGAGAGCCGAGATCGGCAACAATCTCGTTCCGCTTCGTTACGCTCGGCCTTGCCTGGTGTTCTAGTCCGTGTAGAGTGTGTTCCTGTTTACCCGAAACTCCTTTCGTGACCCTAACCCCAAGACTTGATATAAAGTCATCTGAACAAGCATCACTCCCTCCGGTAATCCCTGTAGCTCTTCTTGGCTATACCTTCTCACAGCCAATCCCTTATGATTCCCTCCGGATTTAATCATTTCTCAGAACCCACGGGACACTAACTGCGAGTGGGTCTCGTGGTGAAGCGATGCTACTCCACATAAAAACCGCGACGATCCTTCGTCCGCCCCCACGCCGATCATCTGCTTCACCCCCAGACCTCATAAGATGAACAAACAAAGGTCATATGCAAAGCGCCAATAGCGCCAAGGGGCATCACGTGAGGGATTTCAATCCGCGATCAAGGGGCAGTTCATATCCGATGCGGGGAAAGGCGTAACATAACGTCCTTTGTTTACTTAGTTTTTCATGACTAGTCCGAAGATCTGATTACGTGGGAAGTATTTAATCGGTATGGTCCGGCGTGTCTGTGGAGAGACGAGAGACAGTGCCATCCGAGACAGACGCCAAAAAGCAAATAAAAACAAACACCAATCTGATTGATAACCTGTCCACATAATGTTTTTGTTACGTTTTGTGGCTCTAGCCACTACCGCTGCTGGCTACGTAGTCACGACTCTGGTCAATGACAAGGCGATTTGCTATCTATACCCGGAGTCTCTAAGATACGACGGCGAAGCAGTGGACGATGCACCATCCATCCACCAGGCCTTCCAAACATGCGGCCAAAACGGCGATGTCATCTTCACCGATGGTATATTTAACATTAAATCTGTGATGAACACGACAAACCTGGCCAACTGCGACGTCACTCTACAAGGCGAGCTCCGCTTCTCAACAGACATCGACTACTGGCTTTCTCATTCCTACGACGTTGTATTCCAGAACCAGTCAACAGCCTGGCTCTTCGGCGGCGAGAACGTGACCTTCCGCGCAGACGGCGGCTGGTACAACGGCCAAGGTCAAGCGTGGTACACAGAGAACCAGAACCAAAGCAACCAACCCGGTCGACCGATCAGTATTACATTCTTCGAATCGAAGAACCTCCTAGTGGACGGTCTGCGGATTATCCAGCCCCAGTTCTGGGCGACATTCGTGACATATAGTTACAACGTCTCGATTATAAACCTCTACGTCAACGCAACAAGCAACGACCAATGGGGCACGGTGAACACAGACGGCTACGACTCGTGGAACAGCGACACGCTCCTCGTCGAGAACGCCGTCATCCAGAACGGCGATGACTGCATCGCCGCCAAGGGAAATACAACAAACCTCCACGTCAAGAACGTCACCTGCTATGACAATTTCGGCATGACTATCGGCTCTGTGGGCCAATATCCCGATATGCCGGACTACGTCGGGAACGTCACTTTCGAAGACGTGAAATGCTACAACTGCATGGAAGGCGCATTTATCAAAACCTGGCAAGGCGTCCCTGCCGGCGATGACAACCTCAACGGCGACGCCGGAGGTGGAGGCAGCGGGCTAATCAAGAACGTTACCTGGCGCAATTTCGAAATGACGAATGTCGCATTGCCAATCCAGATCTCGCAGTGTATCTATACCGAGGCTGATGGCAAGTATTGCAATACGTCCAAGATGGCTATCGAGGATATTACGTGGTCGAATATCAAGGCTACGACCAGGTATAATGTTGGTGCTTCGATTTACTGTTCTGATGTTCATCCTTGCCCTCGGATTAAGTTTGAGAATGTTGAGCTTGAGTCTGTGAACAGCACGCTTGGTTTGCCGATGTACGGCACCACGTTGCAGGATGAGGTTTATCAGTGTACGAATATTGTTGGGCAGGAGGATTCCGGTATTCCTTGCAATCGGGCTGCTCCGAATGATTATAGTCAGGTTGTGACTAGGAATATTAAGGAGACTGACTGAAGCATGTCGAAACGGGTGGATGCTGGATGGCTACTGGCCGTTGTACATATGAGTTCTGCAATGTCCAATGTGATGCAGCCAGCATAAAAACACAATTCTTCGGAGGAATTAGATTGTAATCCAACACTTCCGTCATGATGTTTGCAGAGGCATGTTATTTGTCCCAAAAAAAGCATCATGGCTCCACCAATACTCTCAGGGTAGTGCGGGGTGGCAGCGCTACTGCCCGAATATACGTGGGGATTTTTAGAACTCCGAGATTACTACCGAGTTTCAGCGACTTGGCTCCGGGCATACCGCCTCCTTTGCTGTCGGGAAATTACAAAAATGCAGGGCCAAGTTTATATTTCCCCGAAGATATGCAGAGCCGTGGGGTAGATCAAGAGGAGAGGAATGTGAGGTAGGAATTATCACATATAAATATAATATGAAATTCCAGGATATCATAGAATAAAGTGTCTATATAGACAACAAACAGCATGGGTGTTTTACTCGAGACATTAGTGGCAGTGGGCATTTTAGCCAGCACGGCATCTGGCATGAACTATACCGAGCCGCACCGACCCCAATACCATTTTTCGCCCAAAAAGAACTGGATGAATGACCCGAGTGGCTTGTTATATCATGACGGTACCTACCATCTCTTCTTCCAATATAACCCCGGTGGAATTGAATGGGGAAATATGTCATGGGGCCATGCAACGAGCGAAGACTTAACCCATTGGGAAGAACAACCTGTCGCTTTACTTGCGCGGGGATATCCCAATGATGTTACTGAGATGTTCTTCACTGGGAGTGCTGTTGCCGATGTGAATAATACAAGTGGTTTTGGCGTTGATGGCAAGATCCCCTTGGTGGCTATGTATACTTCCATGGTAAGTACGCCTGATGATACTCACTTTCCTTAATGTCCAAGGATCAATCTAATACCAATATCCAATTAGTATCCTATCAATCAGACTTTGCCTAGTGGAAAATACGTCCTCGCAGAACAACAATCCCAATCAATCGCCTACAGCCTGGACAATGGCATGACCTGGACAACATACGATACTGAGAACCCCGTCATCCACAACCCCCCATCTACCTACGCAAGCGAGTACCAGAATTTCCGAGACCCTTTCGTATTCTGGCACGACGAGACACAGAAATGGATCGCCGTCACAGCTTTTGCAGAAATCCACAAGCTTTTCCTCTGGAGCTCGGACAATCTTTTAGACTGGTCTCCACTTAGTGAATTTGGACCAAAGAATGCAGTCGGCGGCGTATGGGAATGTCCAAATCTATTCCCTCTCTCTGTCAACGATGATGAATCAACCACAAAATGGGTCTTGGTCCTAGGACTCAATCCAGGCGGACCACCAGGCACAGTCGGGTCAGGAACGCAGTATTTCATCGGTGATTTCAACGGTACAGCTTTCACCCCTGATTCTGAAAGTGTGCATCCCGAAAATGAAACTGCAAACTGGCTCGATTGGGGTCCGGACTTTTACGCTGCTGCTAGTTATAATGGACTTCCTGGTGGTGAGAGGGTTCAACTTGCTTGGATGAATAATTGGCAATATGGAGCCGCGATACCGACCGATCCATGGCGGAGTGCGATGACTGTTCCTCGTCGATTATCTTTGAAGATGGTTGGTGGGAAGATCACTCTTCTTCAGAGGCCGCATGAGAACTTGCAAGGTGTTATGGGTCACAGGGATGTGTCTCATTCCTGGCATTCTGTATCAGAAGGGTCGGTGGATCTCGGCTCGCTGGGCAAGGCGTTCCATGTCAGTTTGAGCTTTGCAGATCATGATTCGGATAATCGTCATGCATCTGAGTTTGCGATTGCTGTACGGGCTAGCTCTGGTTTCTCGCAGCAGACGCTTGTTGGTTATAATTTCACTAGCAAGGAGGTTTTTGTTGATCGACGGAAGTCTGGGGATGTCTCGTTTGATGGGACTTTTGGGAGTATCTATCATACGGCGTTGTCGGCGTGTCCGGACGGGCGTGTGAACTTGGAGATATTTGTTGATTGGTCCAGTGTGGAGGTATTAGGAGGTCAGGGTGAGGTTTCTTTGACTTCGCAGATTTTCCCTGATGGTAACTCTACCAATGCTCGACTTGTTTCGACGGAGGGTAGCACTAGAGATGTCAAAGTTCGGGTAAATAGAGTGGATTCGGCCTGGGAGTGAAACATAAATAATAGCTTCAACTACGCGCCGAGACGGCGCATGAGAGCGAAGTTCAAGGAAACTAAATGGCGACAGACTTGGTATTGGGAAACGTAAAATCCCCTCTTTAGAAGAGAGAATTAAGAGATTGGAAGACTGAAGCTTTGACGTTTCTTCATAAGTAAACTATTTCAGTAGACTAACCATATCTGTACGAGGAAGCTGGGGTTAATTATGGCGTTGGTCTAGCAACAATTGTAAAATGGAAACTTCATAGATCTGATTAGTGAGCCGGGTGAGTCACGGAAAAGCCGTCCCCGATATAAAATGACCCATATAGCCCCATAAATAACCGTCAATCAACTTCCTAACAACTACTCCGTATCGAGCAATTAGCATCTCACATTATCAAAATGGTAGCGCCACTGGACTTCAGCCTCCCAACAGCCCTGATCCTGATCGACAATCAAGCAGGCTTCAGCCACCAACCAACAATCTCACACTGGGGCACCACACGATCCAACCCATTCTACGAAGTCAACCTCCAAGCACTTCTCGCTGCATTCCGGACTGCAAAATCCACCTCTTCTTCTTCTCGATTTGAAGTCATCCACATTTTCCACTCATCCACAACCCCCGGATCTCCGCTACACCCCTCTCACCCGGCACAGGGTATCCGTCCACTAGACTTCGCTACTCCTGCATCGGATGGGTCTGAGCCTGTATTCTGGAAAAGCGTCAACTCTTCGTTTATTGGAACAGGTCTTGAGGCGCATTTGCGTGAGAAGGGTTTCCGTCAACTCATTATTGCTGGGTTGACGACTGATCATTGTGTTTCGACTACTGTGCGGATGGCGGCTAATCTGGGGGTTGTGGATCGGTATCTTGGGGATGGTCCTGTTAAGTTGAGGGCGGATGGTACCCATGAGAGGGACGTCCAGGTTGATAAGGGGCGGATTGTGCTTGTTGCTGATGCGACGGCTACTTTTGGGAAGGCTGGGATTGATTCTGAGACTATTCAGAAGGTTACTGTTGCTAGTCTTGATGGGGAGTTTGCTGATGCTATTGGGACGGAAGAGGTGGTTAAGGCTTTGAGGAAGATTAAGAAATAGAGTGGATGTTTGCGGATGTCCATTCTACTAAGAGCCCGGTGGTCGAATTGAGTAAACCGAGGCATAGAGCATGTCAAAATAGATCAAGTATCAGGGCCGATACTAACACTGTTTCTTGAAAATGAAACGAAGAAGAAATAGAAGAAGCAAAGTACAAACATGAACACTGATACAAGCATATTACAAGAATACTGAGACATATTGCCGTAACACCGTCGAAAGGCCTCAAATCATCTACATTATCTACATGTATGGACTACATGAATCATCAAATGGTGTTTCTCTCTCTCTCATCCCAACTGCACTTGCAATGAAGATCTGCTATATACTAATTGGCAACTGAGCAGGGATATATGCGATGGATGCGATGCGAAATGAGAACAGAACAGAACATATAGGACATATAGGTTATATAGGACATAACAGAAATTCGTGGCTGGTTGTCATCTTTTGATACCAGATTGTAGAGCGTGGCTACTGTCGGCTCAGCTGGATTCCTTAGAAATGCCAAGTGCCCTGCTACCACATTCTTTCCCAAGCAGGTATACCATGGAAGGAAAAACTATCAATAAAAGTCATATTTCAGTCCATGAAATACACGCATTGGTGCAATCGGAGCATACCCAGTGAGCCATAATGCTATACTTCCCGAATAGGCTTAGTACAGGCATTGCAGGCATTGTATTCCCTCAACGGGCCAGCCTAGGCACATTTGCTGTTCAATAAGACATGTAGAGGCCTTATATAGAGAGCTATCAAGGTATATACACTTATGACATGTTTAGTATTGGGAAGAAAGAAAGAAAAAGAAAAAAGAGGACCGTGTAGGTGGTTGACAGCAGAACCAAGTTGGCCAGCCGCGCCGCTATCCAATGGGCTAGATGATTGCGTAGATGCAATTTATAGAGTAGCTACCAAAATCCCCGACATTATATCAAGATCGACACATGTAGTATCGATCCTGAAATGATCTTCAGCGCTTGGTAGTTGAGTGAGTCAGGTCGATCCGCTTGGCCTCGTATTACGATGGGGAACGCCTATTTAAGGAGAGATCAGTCCCTCAAGATGAGAATTTCCAGAACCTCATTCATAAGTTCGGTATTCTAAATGCCGGAATCAAAAGAGACAGAGACAAGCGCTTCAATGCCTGGAAACAGTGACGAACAGGTAAGGCTACCCCCCACTGAAGACTACATATCAAGACACCAACTAACCAATCCCCAGCCCACATCGAGTCAAATAGTTCAAACCTCAGAGTTCTTGCCTGTTTTAGACCAAGATTTGTACGAGTTCTTCCAGGAAATCACGTCTGAAATCCAGAAGCTCGGATGTTCGAGGGCGGAAGCAGTGGCGCGCATCAACGAAGCTTGGGGCCAGGTGGATTTCGAACCAGATGATATTGTCTACCATGAAGAACCCAAGTTCTGGGCCTACCGTCACTACTATAAGGAAGTGCTATCGTGGGATGAGGGCGCAGACCGGTCGAACTGGAAAGTCCGAGATGCACCACCCCCAGGGTCTGCTTCGTGGACGTTGAAGGAAGAAGTTGATGTATAATACCTGCATTTATATAGTTCTACTCTACTAATCTACCTTGTTGGATCATCTATGATGCACAATGCGGGATACAGTAAAGTTACACGAAAGTAATTACTTCAAGGGTCTCTAACACAAAGGAGAAAAAGAATACAGGAGCAGTTACCAAGGAACAGCCCATAAAACCCCATAGTATAAATGGCAAATATCACCTCAGATCCCCAGCTGTAGCATAAAGATACAGGCAAACAAGACACATGATGCATCAACAGCGACTAATTTAGACAAGGTCGCGCTTGACGAACTCAGCAAGGAGGGACTTGCCGAGGTTGGCGGGGCTGCGCTCGACAATGACACCGGCGTCGGTCAGGGCGGAGATCTTGGAATCGGCACCACCCTTACCACCGGAGACGATGGCACCGGCGTGACCCATGCGGCGACCGGGGGGAGCAGAGATACCGGCGATGAAGGAGACGGCGGGCTTGTTGTGGATGTTGTTGGCCTTGAAGAACTCGGCGGCGTCCTCCTCGGCGGAACCACCAATCTCACCGATCATGATGATACCGTCGGTCTCGGGGTCCTCGAGGAAGATCTTCAGGCAGTCGATGAAGTTGGTGCCGGAGAAGGGGTCACCACCGATACCGACGACGAGAGACTGACCAAGGCCGGCCTGGGTGGTCTGGTTGACGGCCTCGTAGGTCAGAGTACCGGAGCGGGAGACGATACCGACACGACCGCGCTTGTGGATGAAGCCGGGCATGATACCGATCTTGCATTGTCCCTATAATCGAGATATATGAGTACCCGGCGCGTTTCGAAGGATTGTATGTTGATAGCTTACGGGAGCGATGATACCGGGGCAGTTGGGGCCGACCAGGCGGGTTTTGTTCTGGGTCTTGAGGATGTCGGTGATGCGGACCATGTCTATATCAAAACAATCAGTTTGCGTGCTTCATGTGCTATTCGAACGATTCGTACCGTGCTGAGGGATACCCTCAGTAATGCTATAGAAGAAAATCCCGTCAGTTTGAAGCTCCTAATAGGGAGAAAAAAAAGTTCCATTGGTTTGACACGTACCAAACAACGAGGCCCATCTCAGCGGCGATGGCCTCCTCGATACCGGCAGCAGCGAGAGGGGGACTGACTGCAGTTAGCGCAATTATTCTGGTTTCATCGAAATCGTAGGATCATACGGGACGAAGATAGCAGAGGCGGTAGCACCGGTCTCCTTCACGGCATCGCTAACGTTGGCGAAGACGGGACGGTCGAGGTGAGTGCTGCCAGCCTTCTTGGGGTTGGTACCGCCGACAACATTTGTGCCTATCCTGTGTAAGCAATGGGTGACTCGTCGCGATGGCGAAAGAAGAAAATACCGTAGGCGATGGCCTGCTCTGCGTGGAAGCTATTTCGAGACGAAGTGTCAGCGTCGAGCGCGTACAATTATTAGGGAATCTGCAGAATCTGCACTCACGTTCCCTGCTTTCCGGTGAAACCCTGGAACAGGACGCGAGTGTCCTTGTTGATGCGAAGGTTGTTCACGGTGGATTGGTAGGCAGAGGTGGCCTCAGTCCGGCGCTGGGTGGCACCGAACTGGCGGAGGGCCGAGACAGTGTTACGGCGGAAGGCCTGCATTGCGATAGGTAGAGAGGAGAGGTGTTGAGGAGTATGAAAGGAGAGAAAAGGATTCGGGTATGGTGAAGGGATCGGGTTGCGCGCCCGGGAGTTTTCGCTCGGGACAATCTTTTACTTAAGCGGATCCGAGTGCTGTTCGGGCGCAGGCCTCGGCGACCACAATTTTTATACCCCCACCACCACAGCTCAACAGCTTCATCTTCACTCTCTCTCCACATCTTCCCGCCTCGGCGCGGTGATATCCTCTTCACCATGGCCACCATGACGATGACCCCCACGAACACGAAGCGAAACGCCAAGAAGATGGCGAAGCAGGTGCCGGAGAACGAACGGTTCATGCGAGCGTGCTCCGACATTGCAAATGCCCTGATCCAGGAGTACGAGTCCTCAAGGGACTCCTCACAGCCTAAGAAGGATGTCAACCTCAACAAGTTGCGCGGCACGATCGCCAAAAAGCACAGTTTGTCGACCCAGCCGCCACTGACGGCCATCATTGCCGCAGTACCTGAACACTACAAGAAATACATTCTACCGAAGCTGATCGCAAAGCCTATTCGTATGTCACAACTATCTGGGGGAGTGCTGGGCAGCAGCTAACTCGATTTGCAGGAACTTCTTCTGGTATCGCCGTGGTGGCAGTTATGTGCAAACCTCACCGATGCCCTCATATCGCCTACACCGGTAACATTTGCGTCTACTGCCCCGGTGGCCCAGACTCTGACTTCGAATACTCGACTCAATCCTACACCGGATATGAACCAACCTCGATGCGGGCGATCCGCGCTCGTTACGATCCATTTGAACAGGCGCGAGGACGAGTGGACCAGATCAAATCTCTCGGCCACAGCGTAGATAAGGTCGAATACATCATTATGGGTGGAACTTTCATGTCGCTGCCGGAAGACTACCGTGACAGCTTCATCTCACAGCTTCACAATGCACTGAGCGGATATCAAACGGACAATGTCGACGAGGCCGTGCAGGCAGGCGAAATGAGCAACGTGAAGTGTGTGGGTATCACAATTGAAACACGACCGGATTACTGTCTGGACACACATTTGAGCAGTATGCTCCGCTACGGCTGTACTCGACTGGAAATCGGTGTACAGAGTCTGTACGAGGATGTTGCGCGAGACACCAACCGCGGTCATACTGTGGCAGCAGTGGCCGAGACTTTCAAGCTTGCCAAGGATGCCGGCTTCAAGGTTGTCAGCCACATGATGCCCGATTTGCCCAATGTTGGAATGGAGCGCGATCTTTTCCAGTTCCAGGAGTACTTCGAGAACCCCAACTTCCGCACTGACGGTCTCAAGCTCTACCCCACGCTTGTCATTCGAGGCACCGGTCTCTACGAATTGTGGCGAACCGGCCGTTATAAGAACTACACCCCCAATGCGCTGATCGACTTAGTCGCACGCATCCTCGCCCTGGTTCCTCCATGGACTCGTATCTACCGAGTTCAGCGCGATATCCCCATGCCATTGGTGACATCTGGTGTGGAGAACGGCAACCTGCGCGAACTGGCATTGGCACGCATGAAGGACTTCGGTACGACCTGCCGTGACGTACGCACCCGAGAGGTCGGCATCAACGAAGTGAAGAACAAGATCCGCCCCTCGCAGATCGAGTTGATCCGCCGTGATTACACTGCCAACGGCGGTTGGGAAACATTCTTGGCATACGAGGACCCGAAGCAAGATATCCTCATTGGCTTGCTTCGTCTGCGCAAGTGCAGCGACACCCACACCTTCCGTCCAGAGTTCACAGGCCAGCAGACGAGTATCGTCCGCGAGTTGCACGTTTATGGTTCTGCTGTGCCACTTCATGGACGTGATGCCCGCAAGTTCCAGCACCGCGGCTTTGGAACCTTGCTAATGGAGGAGGCGGAGCGCATTGCTCGTGAGGAGCACGGCAGTACGAAGATCAGTGTTATCTCCGGTGTTGGCGTGCGTAGCTACTATGCTCGTCTTGGGTACTTCTTGGATGGTCCTTACATGTCCAAGATGCTGGACCCTTGGGAAGATGAGGAGTGATTGATTGGAAAAAGAAGAAAGAAACAAAACAAAACTAGGTGCTGGAGCTGGAGCTCTAAATCTGGTTCTGCATCCACTGGCGTTGGCGGTCATGAAATCATGCTTTTTCTCAATGATGATGAATAAATGTCTTTACAAAAGTTTGCTCTTTAGATGCATCAATGGACATAATGAGATATCAAAAAAAGAAGCTGGCTATAGTTCGAGCGGTCTATGTACAAGTCGCAGGTAGATCGTCTGTGCGTCTGTGTGTTCTAGTAAGGAAGACTGGGAAACCTGCCCCGCAAACGCCTTCCAAGCAGATGCTTGCTCATTCATGGACGAATACGTACGAGTCGCTCAATGAGACAGGCAAGATGACTGCCGGGGGACGGACACCATCTCCGCTGTCTTTCCGCTTCAAGGCACATCAAACTCATCAATCCAAGACCACCATGTTGGCCAATAGAAAACACCGAGATTTCATCCCAAATATTGCAAATCGATAGATAAACGCGTTGTCAGGACACCGAAGAAAAAGGACGTATGCTATATCAGCTTCAATGCAGTGATATAGCACCTCCCCTGCTGTTTCGCATGTGGAGGAAAGCCTGGAAGCCGCAGAACACGAAGAAGCCCTATTGATCAGAAAATAGATCGTCAGTAACCAATTCTCCCATTCTCTCTCTCTTGTACAGTGATCGGTCTTTTGTGTCCGAGGTATGGGGAATGACGTACAGCGTAAACGATCACAGCGGTGTAAATTGAAGCAGCGACTGCGGGACCATCTTCGGGCTCGTCTTCTGAACCGGTGTATGCGTGGTTGTTGCTCTGTATCAGGGAAGTTCTTGTTAGCGCTCGATGTCATATTACGTATGCCTTGTGAGGGCCGGGTCTTTGGGCGGGCTGGTGTCGGAGAGGGTCGGATTCATGTACGCTGTATAGGGAGCCGAGAACTGATAATATGACGATTGCGAAGAGGGAGATAACGACACTATTTGGCGGGCGAGAGGTTAGATCGACGGGGTTGATTGTTGGAGATGGGTTGGAAGAGCGTACCAGGACCAGGCGTTCAGGGCAGAGACGACGGGCTTCATGTTGGCGGAGACAGAGGAGGATCCAGAGAAGGGTAATCGGATAAAGAAAATAGGTTAGAGAGAGTATGTCGCTAAAGGGCTAGTAAAGAGAGAGGTTGAAGTCTCAAGATACGGAGGCGGGCGGACCTTCACTTGCAAGGCCCTAATCCGCTTTCGGACAAGCCCAGACCCGCCATCTATGAAACATCAACTTGATGCTTTTTGCGTATTTTGCATATTTGAACTTGTTTGTTGGGCATTTATTGTTTTTGTTTCTATTTAATGAGACTTGTTCCATTCGATACACTCATCGAATGTCACTCCAGAGCCACCGAAGATATCCAACGCACTGCCAATTGTCAAATCCACTCGTCCCTTGCTGGACGTGTGGACCTTTTCTAGGTCTTGCAAATTGCGCGCACCTCCGGCATAGGTCACAGGGATGGTACACCAGTCAGCCAGTCTGGATACCAATTCCTCGTCGACACCTTGTTGCAGGCCCTCTACATCTGCAGCGTGGATCAAGAACTCGGCGCAATATGGTTCCAGTAATGCGATGGATTCTATAAGATATCAATGAGCAAACAATACATATCAACAACAGTCAAGAGATGAAAGATATAAGGACATACCCTGGTTAATCTCCATTTCCGTGATGGTTTGCCAGCGGTCCATGGCCACAAACCAAGTATTGTCTTTTCTGCGACAGCTAAGATCCAAGACCAGCTTTGACTTGTCGCCGCCGAGAGCAGACAGAACCGACTGAAGCCTCTCGAGCGAGAACTTGCCGGCAGGGAAAAGGAATGAAGTGATGATCACCTATTGTCCCGCATTCCATGATTAGCGCCATCGGACTATTACTATGACGGAGGACTTGGAACGGGATTTTGAAGCAGCCACAGGGCCAACAGATCTCATTCAACTCTCAATCAAACACAGTACCAATCAAGAAATCCGTAATTCGCAGAGGGTGGTGCATACCTTGTCCGCGCCCTGGTCAATCCAATATTGGGCATTTTGGTCGGTAATACCTCCAGCAACTTGTAAACCACCTGGCCATGTCTTCAGCGCCTCTTGAGCAGCCTCTTCATTTCCTGGGCCAAGCTTCACAACATGCCCACCGCGCAAGTCATGCTTCTCATACAATCCCGCATAATGGCTGGCGGGAAGCTTAGATACGTAGTTGGTCTTCAGGTCGGCAGCCACTTGACTGAGGGTACCACCCACAATCTGCTTCACCTGCCCCGAATGCAGGTCAATGCACGGTCTGAATTTGGTCATTGTCTTCGAATTGGAGAGAAGAATTGTGATATTCAGCGACGCTCAGAGTCGAGGGGCTTATCTCTTATCACACGTGATACGGCGATTAGCTCGAAAAACTTCTTGGGCGGCGCGATTGTTTTGACTCCTCTACATAATCGACAGACGCATTCATCATGGTCGGAAAACGGAAGCGCGAGACCACTGTTGTCTCTAAGCCTAAAAAGAAGGAGAGTCCTCCTCCCGCGGACAATGCGCAGGACGTATTCCGCAAACTTTTCGAAGCGCAGTTCGAGCCTCTTGATTTGCCAGGCCATACCGCCAAACCCGCCAATTCTACGGATTCCGAGGGCGAGGGCGAGGACGACGATGAAGATGAGGATGAACTCTCTGGATCCGAGCTTGGCTCAGATGATCTATCCGACTTCAGCGACGTGAGCAATGAAGTCGAGGTGGTGGAACACACGGATGCCCACATAGCACCAGAAGACCGAATGGACAAGAAGACTCGAAAGGCATTTTTGGTGTGTGCTGAATATCAAGAGGCTGGGGTCCAATACTAATAATGTTGCTGCAGAGTGGAAAATTATTATCTAATTTAGAGAAACCGAGCGCCAACCCGGACGACCCTGCAACCAAGAAGGAAGAGGAGGACGACTCCCACGACGCTGTGAACTTGAAGCACGATCTCGCATTGCAGCGACTCCTCAAGGAATCTCACCTCCTCGATTCCGCAGACGATCTTGCACCCACTGGAAAAAACCGTCTCAAGGCTCTGGATATGCGCATGCAATCCCTCGGAGCTAAGTCTTCGCTTTATGCGCAGAAGATGCCAGATGCGCATCGACGAGGCATCAATGCCAAGGCAGCTTCTAAGGAAGACAGACGCCGCCGTGAAGCTAAGGAGAACGGCATTATTCTCGAGAGACCTAACAAGGTTTCCAAATCGAACAGTGGGCGACGAGAGCGTGGTGTTGGAGGTTCCTCCGTGGGCAAGTTCTCAGGGGGTACATTGAACCTGAATAAGCAAGATATTGCTCATGTCCAGGCCTCGGGACGCCGAATGACTGGTGGCAGAGGAAAGGGCAAGCCCAGAGGGAGGGGTGGAAGCAGAGGTGGAGGGAGAGGCGGCAGCCGTTGAGAATAATCATTATCATCAGAACTCTTATGCATTCGTGAGCCAATTTTCTTTTTCACGTGGTAACGCCTATCTACCATTCTTGATTTTGAAATTGGGCACCATGGGTCTCATCCAAAAACGCATCTCACGCTATATCAACTTCAACCGCAATTCTCAAGGGTCATGAGCAACCACCTCAATCTCAACCCGCATATCATCCTCGCCAAGTCTTGAAACACCAATACACGTCCAAATCGGTTGGTGGTTAGGCATCCACTTCTTGAAGTTTCGCACCATCGCGTCGAGGGCCTCGTTGTTGATTGGGACATGGTACGAGTTCACCCGAAAAACCTGCTCCCATCCCTTCCCTCCTGCATCCTTCAGGTTCAGATCGACATTGGCGAAAGCTTGGTCAATCTGGGCGTTGATTTCGCGGTGGAACTCGAAGGTCTTTGGGTCCCAGCCGCCTGTGGGAGATGCTGTCAGCATGCATGCTTGTTCGGGCAATGTCCTTGGATTTTCATACCTTGGCCTGCGCACTCGATGCGGTCGCCGATGCGGACGGCTTGGCTGTAATTGAAGTCTCGCTTGGCCTTTTGGCCCCAGCCGTCGTAGCAGTAGTATTGCAAGTGCGACATCTTGGAATCGATATAGATAATGGGACTTGATACGATGTATTATTGGGATATTGTCGTAGTTTTTTGTTGGAATGGAAACAAAGAGATTCAACTGAAGATAAATTCTTGCAATCCAGCAATTTTGCTGGAGTGTATGTAGTGGTTAGGCGGAATATACTTTCCGCTGAAGAACATTACGTCATGGATACAAAAGCATCACAAGTAATTTATACGTTAACGCAAATATCGTTGTATTCAACACATCAAGACCAGGAATTTTTAAATTTGCAATATGAATAGTATCTATCCGGTACGATACTCTAGACTTGGCTCAAGCGTCTAAAAATAGCAGAAGTATGCATGCATATGTATTAGAGTTGCAGGGGATGTATATATATGTTGGCAACAGCTTGCATACATGTTCAATATATATAAATCCGGCGAAGCTATGTAATCGACCTATGTATTGTATAGGACACCGATTTATGAATCCGCCATTTATACACCGTACATTGAGATTATGAATGTCCCAACTCGACTAACAAGTTGCCACGCCAGGTTCTCAATTTTGCGGCGCCAAGAAACCAAGGTTTCTACCAAGATACTACAATCAAGTCAGATGTGCACGAGGGACAATTAACAGGCCAGTGCAAAAGCCGCGTATGTATCTATTTCACCCTGTAGGGACACCCTACCGTTATTGTGGGTTGCACAGATATTTGCTGCACAATCGCAGTACTATCAAATTGGGATTTCTATACTAAACCCTCACGCTATCGCCAGATCCACACGCGAGTTCCATATGTCGACGATCAGGTGTGTTCCGAGGAGCCCTGTAGGGCGGAAAAAGTTAAGAGCTGAGTCGAGGCAAGATGCCGCATGAGGGTCTCCGTGGTCCACAGGTTCCATATGGATTTGTGTTTCGGGTCAAACAGTACTGGAGCCGTGGAGCCAAGGTGGGTTATGGCGCTACGCAAAAATTGGGAGCGGATTTGGTCGGAGATAATCTAGCTGAGATGTATGTTTGTGACGTTATTTCTTCTGTGTCTGGCGTGGGTGGATATGATCGGCGATTTGGAAGGACATTGGGAACATTGTTTCCATGTGATGATGCTATGCTGGAACTTTCCGTCGCAATGTCTTCGGTCTTACTTGCATTCTTTGCAGAATTGTCTGGAACTTTCTTATCTGGGTTTCTAGTGCAAGTCCAAGTTTGTAAGAAAATGGACTCGGGCAATCCAGGGGTTGCATTGCATTGGATCTGCAAATCCCCTGGCCAATGCGTTTTATTGAAGCGCCAACTCAAATATATCGAACACAGCCTCATGGCGTCGTAACGCAGGCAGACATATTTTACACTATTCATGTTTTGGCTGTGTGTTTCAAATGAATATTTTCATGCCTGTCAGGGGGAAGCTAATAGATCTACGAGAAGGCTGCTAGAGGCCACAGTGGACTTGGACTATTGTTTCATACATTAATACCGAAAATTGACTCTTTTAAAGAGAAGAGAAAAAAGAGGAAAAAGGAGAGGGGTTAAAAAAATTATCAAATAACTACAAGGTTGGTTGTATACATCAAGTAAGGAAGCCACGGGAGACAAGTAACCATAGCAATTGATGTCAACGACTCTAGAGAAAATTATTACCAGATAGACCTAAGGACTTTACCTCGGCGCTACAGAATAAATCCGAAAGACCAGACATATGAAGTGCAAGTTTCGGCGCTTCAGCTTGCAACTGTTTGGTGGACCTTCTTCAAGGGACCCCGACGGGTGCTTGTCCCTTTTGGGCGCAGTCTGAAAGTTTATAGATGAGATTGCCCTGGTCGCCCGACCGAAACCAATGCATGTATGTATGATGTGATTCGCAACCTTTGGAGATTGTAACCCTACATGTAAGCCAAAAAGGCCCAGACCCTGCTATGTTGATCACTTTGATGTAGTGGTGATGCATCTTTGATCGGAGTACCGTATAATGCCGGGCCAATCTACAAGAACCACCACTGAACGTGCATAAAGTAAGATTAATGTCGGCTAGCCGATATTTTCTCGGAATCTCTCGGCGGTGGCGCTCGACAGGGAAGTGATTTGGGAGCTGTGCCGTGAGTTTCAGGGTCTTGGCGTTGGGCATCAAAATTGAGGGATCAAAGAGCTTTCTCGTGCCAAAAGATAAACTGATAGTACAGTATCAGCCTTGATCAGCCCTATCCAGCCTTAACCAGCCTTAGCCGAGCGGAAGGTTGAGTACGAGTGAAAGAAATACCCCGAAAGGATATGATCGAAGGTCAGTTGAGAGATGTGCAAGTCATTGCAGGTTAAGAATCAATCGCAGACGATGACGAGGTCTTGGCTACTCCGCTGGGATTTTCTAGACGTGGCGCACGTGGTCCTCAGTGGAGTACAGTACTTGGAAGACTAGACCAGAAAAGAATCACAATCACTAAACACAAAGCACCAGTGGAGCTGATCGACAGTAGAAGATTGGAACCATTTGTGCACAGTGGACATAGAGGCCGTTCGATGTGTCGATCATCTCCCTTTAGCGCGAACCCTGTCCCGAAATGTTCTTGGACCTCATTCTTCGCCTTTCCTCCACCTATGATGCTCCCGGAGCTTGGAATGCAGCAACATTGGTCAGTAGCTTGTGGGTAATGCTTGTCTGGTGCTATACTGCATCCTCATTGGATCCTTAGTGCCCAAACCTAAGCCTCATGCCCCCTTTGCGGGTCTTCATTGGATAGGGGATTCTGCGTGCGGCAAGGGATCCCCTATACAAGATCCAAGGGGATGATTACCTACGTAACTACACGACGTACGTTGCTCTTTTATTCCCCCTGAATCAATAATGCTTAGGCACTGGAAGCTCGACACTTGCGTGAAGATAATGAGCATAATCGCTAATAATGGAGCACATGGAGTCAAGAAGCCCTGGAGCGAGAGAGGCGGGTTTCAGGTTTCTCCTCCCCGTATCCAAGATATCTAAATGGCCAAGGCTTGGCTTGTTAGACATTAGACATGATTGGTTTCGGTATACCCTTCTGCTTATCGTGCATCCCCGACTGCGGACCCTCGGGAACTCGGGAGGACTGTATCAAGATGCCGAGTCCGAAAGTAGAACAGTCCACGAGATGTCACTGACATCTCGGGACTGTTTCCCATCCTATGGGTGGAACCGGTTGTACTGCACATGCTTTGCAGATCATCTGTCAAATAGTGCACGCGTATACAAACATCGGAAGGAATTACAGTGGATAATAGCATTTGCCCTAGGATGTTTTTTTGAGACACCGTTCCACTGTTCGTCACATTCAATTCCCCGGAATGACTTGCGTAGTCCTTAAAAATGAGCCCCTTCCGTGGATAGACATCAATACAATACATGCAAGCCAGAAGACATTATTCAATCGTAAGCAGCATGACGGCAATCCTTTTTGCAAACATTGGGTCTTGTATATGTAAGTGATCGTCGCCTGTATGTGTCAAATTGAGCTGCGTCGGCCTTACCAGATCTGTCTGATCCTTGCCATTTCTATTATCAAGGGGATGGGTCTGTGGTCCCCCTGGTCAAACCCACAGTGGACCAGGCTTAGTTCACTCTCAGACGCATGGTCCGCCTAATATTTTGGTATTTTCGAATTGTATCAGGGGGAGTTGGGCTGAAATCAGAATACAAAAGGCTGCTATCATTCCATTTTTTAACTTTAGATTAATCCAAAGCTGTCTGGATCCGATGAAGTCACATTTCTATCGACGTTATTGTCAATGACCTGTGTCTCTTTCCACATATACAAAGTTGTTTTTCCTATTTTATAACTACCCATTATGTCTCAATACAGTTCTACTGAGACTCTCAAGGAGCCCAGAGTCACAGAGCATTCTGTCAACTCAAGCCCCAGTCTTTCGCCTCAGGATGAGAAGGACATTTCTACACCATCAACGCCGGCAGAGTCAATCAATCTCGAAGCCCAAGCGGCTACACCACCACCATACCATGTCTTCACTCGATCTCGCAAGTTGCAGATGGTCATCATTGTCTCCTTCGCCGCCATCTTCTCCCCACTCTCTTCAAATATCTATTTCCCTGCGCTATCAGAGATTTCCAAGGTTAGTCCACTTCCAGTAAGACCTCATCTTATCATCCTAACAATAACATAGGAGCTTGATGTCTCCATGTCATTAGCTACCTTGACGGTTACTGTATACATGATTGTTCAAGGTCTTGCTCCAAGTTTCTGGGGTTCCTTCTCCGATGTTCTTGGCCGCCGTGTAATCTTTATTGGAACATTCCTTGTCTACATGATTGCCAATATTGCATTGGGTGTCTCCACAAATTATGCCCAGCTCATGGTCTTCCGAGCCCTACAGGCTGCTGGAAGTGCAGCCACCATCTCAATTGGTAAGATGAAACGTCTATCATTCCCTGATCTCATTACTAACTTATTAGGTGCCGGTGTCATTGGCGATATCACTACCTCAGCAGAGCGAGGTAGCTTGATTGGCATCTTTGGTGGAGGTAAGCTACCCGCTCAAACAATGTGTACTTCCAAAGCTGACATTATCCAGTTCGCATGTTGGGACAAGGAATCGGACCAGTATTTGGTGGTATCTTATCTGAATACCTCGGATTCCGGTCCATCTTCTGGTTCTTGATCATCGTATCCGGAATCAGCCTCCTTTCCATTCTGTTTTTCCTCCCTGAAACCCTCCGTACAATCGCCGGTAATGGCACTGTTCCTCTCAAGGGCATGTACCGGCCTTTGATCTACTCCATCACCGGACAAAAGGATGCCCAGGAAGGCTCAACCCCTTCTGCAAAGAAGTCCAACGTCACCTGGAGGACCGTTGTTGCACCTCTCACTTTTTTGGGTGAGAAGGACGTCTTCATCACATTGTTCTTTGGTAGCATTGTGTACACTGTCTGGTCCATGGTCACATCTTCTACATCCGACTTGTTCGAACAGAAGTATGGTCTCAACTCAATGGAGGTCGGCCTGACCTTCCTCGGCAATGGCTTCGGATGCATGACTGGCTCTTACACAATTGGATATCTGATGGATTACAACCACAAGAGGACCGAGCGCGAGTATTGCCTGCAGCACAACCTTCCCATCGACACCCGCATTAACTCCAAGACACACCCGGACTTCCCCATCGAATACGCCCGTATGCGCAACACCTGGTGGATCAGTGCAATTTTCATTGTCTCTGTTGCTGTCTATGGTGTGTCCCTCCGCACACACCTTGCACTTCCCATCATTCTACAATTCGTTATTGCGTATGGTTCTACTGCCATCTTCACCATCAACAGCGCCCTCGTCATCGATCTTTACCCCGGTGCCAGCGCCAGCGCAACAGCCGTCAACAACCTGATGAGATGTCTGGTTGGCGCTGCAGGTGTCGCCGCCGTGCAGCCTATCATCGATGCCATCACTGCTCAGTGGACATTCGTTCTGCTTGCGGGTATTACCATCGCCATGCTCCCACTCCTGATGGTCGAGATGCGATGGGGATACCAATGGCGACTTGAACGTCACGAGCGCTACCAAAAGAAAGAAAACAATGCCTAAAACTGAGACTTTGAGGAGGAATATCGGAAATATGGTTCAACAAAAAAGGATACAGAACAGGCACATGCCTGTAACGACTTGACGATTTGGGCTTCTCGGTGCAAAAGCGGTGCATATATGGTTTCAATTCTCGGCGATACACCTTTTTGGCGATTAATTATTGGATTTCTGGGCTGTATATAGAAGACTATTCTTACATTGTCGTGAATTCAAGGGTTCTGCATAGTCACATGACGCCCTCAACCTAACTTCACATCGTTCCTTTTCCCCGTCGTAACCAACAACAACGTCTCATCAAATATCTCAAAAGTACAATGAGTGGATATTCAAAGTGAAAGCAACGCTCAAAATGGAAAATGCACGAAGTCTCTACAGAAACGACGTTGATTTCGCAGCCTTAGCGCTGCAGTCGCGCGATTTCGCCAAGTAGTACGTGAACTGGCCTGTGCTCAGTCACTACGCAAAATGCACCCTCACTAACGGGATATCAAGTTTGAAACCGAAATCTCAGTTAGACTTCAGCGACCCAGCCGCTGTCCGGTAAGTCCGAGTCATTTAATGCCTGGAATCCTTGCACGAGTGGATAACTAACATCATGCAGGCAGCTCACTACTACCCTCCTGGAACAGGACTTTCATTTGAAAGTGGAGATTCCTGAAGATCGACTATGTCCACCGGTATGCATTTATATTAAAACAGCGACGATCTTATGTACATGCACTGATTTCGCTGGCAGGTACCAAACAGGTATGTCCACGCAAGGTTGATACCGATACCTCACTTGTACACGACTAACAAAAACAACAGACTCAATTACATTCTCTGGCTTCAGGATCTTCTAGACTCCACCACTGGAGAACTCAAATCTGGATATGACTCCAACCGAGAAGTCATCGGTCTTGATATGTATGTTTCTCCCGCTCCACCCGCCTGAAAATCACAACTCATCAATCACAGTGGGACCGGATGTATCAGTATTTACCCGCTGCTTGGCTGCACAATCCGGCCCGGTTGGAAGTTTGTTGCAACGGGTATGTTCGTCAATCACGTTTACTTGAAACGATACTGATCGACCCGGTAGATATCGACTCCAATAACATATGCAGCTCTCAGCACAACGTTCGATTGAACAACCTCGAGCACCGAATTCGGGTTATCAATACCGACGCTGAGGGACCGCTCTTCCCGCTAGATAAGCTTGGCCATGAAACGTGCATCTCTCCTGAAACTTGTCCCTGCTAGAATCTATTCTGATGTAACATTGGCTACCAATCAGTCTCGACTTTACCATGTGCAATCCCCCCTTCTATACCTCGCGCGATGAGCTGATTCAATCTGCCGAGCAAAAGGCACGGCCTCCATTTTCGGTAAGTATAATATTCCACCAAATATTTGTCATGCCAAAAGCAAAACAAAATACATACATGTACTAATGGTTTATTCAGGCGTGTACCGGCGCCGAGGTGGAAATGGTCACCCGCGGTGGAGAAGTAGCTTTCGTGAAACGCATGATCGACGAGAGTCTCGTTTTGCGTGACCGTATCCAGTGGTATACATCCATGCTCGGTAAACTGAGTAGTGTCTCCGCTCTTGTTGAGATGCTGATGCAGCACGATAATCACAATTATGCCGTCACCGAGTTTGTACAGGGCAACAAGACGAAGCGGTGGGCTCTGGCTTGGTCGTGGGGGAATAAACGGCCCATTATGGTATGGTTTATGCAATCTTCATCGAGATTTTTTTGATCTGTTCTCGTGCCTAACTGTTCGATAGACCGCTGCGCGAGGAATACCTGGATTCCCGAAGCATCTGCTTCCCTTCCCTGCTGATTACGCGTTCACTTTGGCACCCGGTACATCTATTGACACAGCTAGCGCTATCTTAAACAGCGAATTTGATTCCCTGCCCTGGTTCTGGAGCTGGGATGAAGATGCCTCGGCGGGCACTGGTCTCGCTGCTGAAAATGTATGGTCTCGACAAGCACGCCGGAAGATGAAACTCGCTGGCCAGGAAGGCGCAGGCAGATTGAAAGATGTACCAGCACAAGTCCAGCTGGGAGTACGCGTGTACCTACGGTTACTCCGAGGCCAGAAGCTCGAAGACAAAGAGGTACAAGTATTGGTACGGTGGACCCAGGGAACCGACAGTGTCCTATTCGAGAGTTTCTGCGGGATGGTGAAAAGAAAGCTGGAAGCAAAGTGATACATACGATAAGTTACAAGCCTACAGTAAATCGAGAACAAGGTAACTTGGTATGCATAGCTTCGTGTTGCTAAATCAACAAAATCGAACCAAATGAATATCAAAATGCAAATAGCAATCATAATCTCTATGGTTCATAACAGTATCCGTTTTTCATGTACTTAGTTGCCCGTAACTTCAGACTGCAACTCCTTCAGACGAGCCCAGCCTTCGCTGTCTTCCCAGAAGTCCTTGCCCTTGCCCATGATTCCGCGCACGGCACTGCGAGACTTGAACCGCCAATCGCGAGCGACGAGCTCGGCTTCGGCATTTCCCTCGACAGTTTGATCTTCACGGTCCATGGGGCCATACTTGGCGTATCCGTCTCGGATAAGTCTCTCGGTAGCACGCACAACTTCCAGCCAGGGCTTCTCATCGCCCATCTGGAAGGCACCCTGTGCATTAGCAGCGACAGTAGCGCGCCAGGCCTTTTCGTGGGCTTCGAATGCGGCGAAGGGACGTTCACGCCAGATCTCGACGCGAGCGACGAGTAGCCACAGGGCTGAGGAGTGAGTGATGAGTGGAACGATGTTTTGGTCAATCATGGTGATGATCTGGCCGGGGATTGTACCCGTACGAACAATGGGGGCCTCGGATGGATCCTCGGAGCGGATGAGAAGGCGCTCGTATTCGAATGCTGTGGTCAAGAATTCGACCAGCATAGCCAGGATAGGGAGATCGACGCACTTCTCGCCCTTCTTTGCGCCGACGAGCTCGATGATCCGTCTTTGGGCGGTGACCAGGTCGCGGAAAGGTGTTGATGGAGGTGGGATGGAGGCTGCGACTGTGAGGACGTTGTCCCAAATGCGGGCGTCGGTGTTTTTGAGTTGCGCTGCGCGCTGGAGGGCGGCGAGGGCCTCGCGCTTGCGCTTGTGGGGCTCATTTTCTTGGGTTGTGATTTCGCCGGTGGCTTCGTCGACTACGACCTCTGGGCCTGATGACTCGGGGGCTGATGAGCGCAGCATGGCGGCTGCAAGGTTAGACCAGGCTTCGCCGTCTGTGTCGTCGATTTGGACGGTGCGGGTGAAGGTGTCGGTGGCTTCTTCCCATTTTTGTTGCTCGAGTTGGACACAGCCGAGAGCGAACCATGCTCCGTGGTTAAGGCGGTTGACGTGTAGACTCTTCTTGTAGGCTTCCTCGGCCTTCTCCAGTTCGGGTGGTGTGAGGGTGAGGTAGTGACGAGCCAGAGAGCGCTGGGCACGGGCGTATCGCTGCCCGGAAACCTCCCAAGCACGCTCATACAAGGTTTCGTCCTTGTCGATATCTCCCAGAATACAGAGCAGACGGGGTGCATCTGCCGGCAACGGTGACCGCTCTGGTCCATCAAACAGCTCATTTTCGTCATCCTCATCTGGTCCGGTGGGCTGGTACAGCTGGCGACGGATGATGCTCTTTGCCTTTCCTTCACGCTCGGTTGCGGCATAGCAGAGTGCGGCCTCAGCCCACATGTGCAGTCTCTCGTAGATCTCAAGGGCAGTACGCAGACCACCGAGGTCAACCCAGCGCTTGGCCAGCTCAGCCTCGAGGTTCCACCTTGTTGAGAAGTTGAGAATCCAGATGTGTTCGAGACGATCAGCGGCTGGGGCAGATTCAGACTGCTCAGGACGTGGCAAGAAGGTTGTAGGTTCACCTGATTCTTGCTGAGCGGCTGCGTCAGAAGTAGCAGTGTCGGCAATAACCTGGTCCACAAGTGCCTGCATTTGCAGAACAGCGCGCTCAACGGTACGAGAACGGTAGCCCTCTACCCGACTACGGACCAGAAGGCCTTGTGTGTAGATCTGCCAGTTAGAGCTGCCACCATCGAGAACTCGAGTAGCGTAGGGGTGTGTTTCCTCGCGGGTGAGACCGTTCTCAGGTGCAGTGTTAGTAATGGCCGAGGCAAGGGCCAAAAGAAGAGCAGAGTCCACAGGGTTAAGCATGGGCTGGTTGTTGGCGTCAACGGCATCCAAGCTGGCCGACAGCTTGCCCTGAATTGCCTTGTCTTGCTCATTGGGCTTTGAGTCTGTGAAAGAAATAGCCTCAAGTAGCGTATCATCATTTAGATCCACATTCTTGGGGCCGGAGGGCTTCGAGGATAATGAGGCCTCATCGGCACTCTTAGCCAGCACAACAAGCTGACTGATATCGCGATTTTGGAACTTCGTCCGCTTACCCAGCTTGCCGGTCAGTGCAAATTCGAACTGCCGCACCTTGGCGGCTTCGTCGATATCTGCCCGAGCCTTCACATCAAAGCCGTGGTGTGTATGAATGATGGCCCTTTCCAGCAGGAACCGTCCTCTCTCGTCTGCATTCAGCTCAGCCTTGTTCAACTCCTCGACGTCATTGTAGATAGCATCCTGCAGGGTGCTCGTGACCTCGGACAGCATCTTCTGATGCAAGAAGTTGACGCGCATGCGTGCTGTCCTGGCCACAAGCGGTCCCTCAGTGAAAGCATCGCTCAAGAGGGCCTTGGCGATAGCAAACAATTCCGGGTTGGGTGTGAGCTTGTATGCTGCCTCTCCATCCACGGTCAAGTCGCGGATGATCTTTGCCCGGACAGCTCTGAGGGTTGTGGTTTCGCTTCGCAGGGACGATGGCAGCGAGACTTCGGCCGAATTGAATTCGAGGGGAGGTCCAGTAACATTGGACTGCAGGAAGCTAAACAAGGCCGCGAGACCGAGGTGCAGGATCTGGGACTGCTTTTGTTCGGTGGTCTGGTCGTCACTTGACTGAATTGCGGCGCGTGCCTGCTCCGCGACAAAGGCGGTATAGGATGTTTC